AGAAATTAACTATTACCAACTTTCTTCATGTTTTTTATTTTGGACCATGAGTAAGAACCACATGTGCGAAGCTTATAGTCGTCGGTCTCAGATTGAATTTCACTGACTTGGGGTTTATATCCTGCTTCTCAATGGTGACTCATATTGTCATAATACACCTGACGATATTTACAGTTACTGTGTTCTAGTGGTGGGTTAAGTATGTCACACATGCATTCATTTTTTTTCACGGCTAATTTAAAACGCTGGGGTTAAAGTGGAGGGCACACTTGGCAGGCCCCTTAAAATTTCTTTGGAATTTTCTAGTTTTTTGTTGTTGTTCTTTAAAGTTACGAATGTTTTGATAAGGAGTCAGAGAAGGACGTGCTGGCGGCTTTCAGCTTGTCACCTAATGCCAAGATCGACTCAAAACCTTCCGCGATCGACGTATTGCACCTCTGCTCTAACAAAGCACGAACAGTTCAGAAACAATATGAAATGGGAAAAAAGTTATTTAACTGATTAAGTCGTGTTTTAGATTGTTCTTGAAAATCTAATCACTCACGGCTGCACAGTGAACCCACTGACTTTTTACAGCAGACAGCCGCTCCCCTCTCTTGCAGGTACTGCGTATCCCCACTAAATCTTTTAGAGGTACGCAGTACCCGACCGTACCCGCCTACTTTCACCCCTGCTGCCACCCCATCATGCTCCCACCCTCTCATTCTCATTGGATAAAAGATGCCCTTTCGTTCATGAAACTGGAAAAAATTAGGCAAACTTTCAAAGGCTCTGAAATCACATTTTGAAGAATCTGGTCACCGTTTCTGGACCAAGTTAGGTCTTTGCCACTCAATGTGACCCCGTGAGTGGTGCTCCCCTTGCTTCCCAGTTGTAATGGCATACACCCTTTACCTAAGTCTTATAACAATTTTAGTAGCACAGGATACGTTGAGTCCTTTAAGTGCCCCATTTTAGTTGTTTTCTGTTTAATTTATATTTTATTTTCTTTCTGTTGCCTCTGTTTATTTATTTTTTAGTTATCTGCTTTTTATTCATGTACTTATGGAAATAATTGCTGGGTTTTTGTTTGTGTCTTGTTTTATTTTTGGTTCTTCTTTTGCCATTTATTAATTTGTGTTTATTCTCCAAAGTACTGTTTCAAGTATGACTTGAATGTCTATGTATGGTGCTCATTGTTTTGTTAAAAATCAGGAAAGAAAGAAAGTAATTAAATTTGCCTGGATAACGCCCCACATTTCACGTCTCATTTTAATTTGTAAGCAGGGGCGCAACTACAGATTATTCAGGTGGATGCGAAAACATAAATCGCACCCTCCCCCAGCCCCCCAAGGAAGGTACGTAAGAGTGAAGGAGCGTGGAAAACATATGCTCGCTCTATCCCCCCTTGCCCCCACACACAAACTCGCTACATTTACATTTACATGTGAAGGAGCGTAAGGGCGCGGTGAAGTGTATTCGAAGGCATTATCGGCGCGCCCCCTCCAGACGGGGTTTTGACCAACCCTCTGGTGCAGCGCCCCTATGCATCGCATGCGCTGCCCACTTTTTGCGCCACTGTTTGTAAGATAGTGAATTTGTGCAGTATTCAATGAGAAAAGACTGACTTCATTTTAATCTGACTTTATTAAAACATCTGGATTAGATATCCGGTCGTTGAATGGTGCACCAATCAGAATCCAGTAAAATTTCATAAAACCAAAAGCTCCAGTATACCTGCTGAAATGTTTGTAACATCTGGGTCAGTAGATGTCAGTGTTACACAACTGTAAGAACTGAGTTTACCTGATCTTGTCAAGAGAATATCAGCATACCTTTCTGGGGAGTGATGGATTTAATCTCAGTCCAGTTCCCAACACCTCGACTGGTCACTGCAGCCACCTGGAAACATTTGGAAATCCATAAACAATGAAAGAATAATGTCAGCGCTATCTTTTCATCTCTGACTAGAACAAGCCAAATTGGTTGCTCACCCTGAATCTGTACAGCATGTTAGGCTGGAGCTCTTTCACCTCAGTGATATTCTTGGTGGATCTTTGAGATGTCCAATCATTAACCTCGTCCTCACTGTAATCAACCTGTCAACATGGAGGTGCACAGTTAGGGCCTTCAGATTTCACCCACACATAGGAGTAATCTTGTAATTTTCCTCTTTTGGGACAGGAAGACTGGGGGTAGAAGGGGAATTCCTACCTACTAAAATACTAAAATTTACCCAAAATACTTAGGGCAAATTTTTTTGCCTCTAACGTGTATAGTGCTTAGAATAAAAAAAAACAATCATTAATTACAGTGGAATGGAATTTAGTTCTTGCACTGTGAAAAGAAAATGCTGAAGTTTGGATGTGAAACAAAAACATTGGCTTTCAAGGCCCTTCCTTTTCTCTGGAGCATTCCATCTATTTTGAAACTCAAAACTTGGACCTTGTAATAATATCAAAATCATCCAGTGGACCTTGATAATTATTGTCCATGCATCTCAACATTTGAACATTCAAACATTATAAGTTTTAGATTTGTGACTTAATTTCTGGATATAAGAGTCCAACCAACAGTGTTGGAAAAAAAAAATAAAACTTTTGAAGTCAGATTTCCTAAGATTTTTCAGATTCTGAATTGAAAATTCAGACATCGAAGGACAAATAATCTTTTGTAAAATATTTAGACTTAAAACCAGTAACAGCATAGGAAATAAATTAATAATTGATTTTTTTTTTTTTTTGGCAACATTTTGGCCTCAGGACTTTTGAAAAAAACGTGTTCATGTTTTAAGTTTTAAATATTTTGTTACAACACTGACATGTTTAACAATAAGAAAGAATAATGGGCAAGCTTGGGATTGGATAAATTAATAATTGCAGGTGTTTTTCTTCACCATTGTCTCTGAAAGTGTCGCACCCTGTTAGGGACATACACATATAAATCACAAATAGTTATACATGTATATTTTGAAAAACAATTACTTTTTAAAAAGAGTGTGTCCCTTTTACTATATAATGTGCTTTATTCTTGGAATTGTAACAGATCATGTAGTTACGAATCATTTATGTCTGTATTGTAAAAATAACTTTTTTTACTCATTACTGAGCATAGAAAATATTGGTAATTTTAAAAACTTATACCAATATGTGCATTTATTGGTCTTCATTTCCCAACATGGCACAGAAAAATTCACAGTACTTAATATTTCTGTAACAATATTTAATAAAAACATGTTTGGAATGGAACATAACAGGGTGGAAAATCAACGTCTTTGATTCTAAAATTTGACAATTTTCATCATTGGATGCTTCTTTCAAGTCAAAGAATAGGCAGAGTATTTGCCCTTGCTCTATTTGGCAAAAACAGGTGATATCCCTGTAGTGGATTTTCTAATCATAGGTAGTCATTGTTCCCCTCACAGGAGTCAACGGGGGTAACTAGTGAAATGAAAACAGGCAAATGGCAAAGACATCTGTTAATACCTCAGACTACTCTGCAACTCTATTCCATCATTTATTTGACTTAAAATGATTACTTTTCACCCTAATTTCCACCCTGTTTGGTTCGTGAACCAAACAGGGTGGAACATAGCAGGGTGGACCTTTTCTAACTAATCTACCTGTAGCTCTTTATGTGGTGAACATTTAACTAGTTACCCTTCAACAGAATAACAAACCTTTAATGATTAAATCTAAAATAATGTGTTTTTTTTTTATTCTACTGAATAAACATTTTCCACAATCTCTCATAAGAGGGTGGAACTTTAAGGTTGACTCAAACAGATTTAATGTATTTAAGAATAAAAAAGTAAGGACAGAGTGACAATTGAAGCTTACCTTGTTTTCCTTGCTTGAATTCACTTTAAAACCAATTGATGTCACTTCCAGTAAATGTTTTTTATGGAATTTTAGCCTTTTTGAAGGCAAAAAGGAAACATCCCAACAGGGTGGGAAGTTAGTACTGGGACATGTAGAATATGAAAAAGATATCAAAAAATAAAAATAGTTTTAATAGATAATAGATATCAATTGCGTATTAAAATAAGGTTTAGTCCAGTTAATCAATTTATTGAAGATAAACATAAAAAAATATACATATTTTATTGTTTAAACTTCATGAGGAAGTCTGTTACACTGCACTGCGGACACAAAAAAATTGAGCATGTCAGTCTCCAAAAAGGTGTGTAAAGAACAAAATAATATTTAAAAGGCACTTCATTTATAATGGCAAATATCTAAATCAGGAGTCCCCAAATTACGGCCCGCGGGCCGGATCCGGCCCGAATCCACATTTGGTCCGGCCCCCTGAACAATACCAGAGAGCATTCAGATTTTTTTTCATTTCCCGTATTTTCCGGACTATGAGCCGTTTATATGTGGATTTTTCTTCAACCACCAGGGGGCTCTTTAGCAGTAAGAGTGAATCATTGGAAGTCTCGGTTACTTGCGTGTCAACATTGAGCCCACAAGCAGCAAAATGAGTAAGAAACAGATCAGGTATCTTTGGAAAGTTTCTTTGCAAAGGGGAAAAGGCCCAGAGAAGAGACAGGAGAATGGATTTATCTCGGACCGGTAGGTGAGTCCCACTCTACAAGCCCGCTCTGCGTAACATGCGGCGACCAGCTGCTAATGAGGCAATGAAGCTTAAAGCTGCTTCACCACTAGAGACCAAGCAGGCTGTGGATATAAGCAACACTTTGGTTGTCATTGTCTGTCATCACTTTCAGATGGGACCATCTCGGGACCATCTCGTTGCAGAGAAACAAGCTCAGGGCTCCCGTTAGTCTTTATCATGAGTTAAAATTTTCACGAAAGTAAAATGTTTGTTTTTGTGGCGCTTCTGTTATTATCAAAGGATATATAAACGTTACCATAGCAACCACAGTCAGAGAGCGTTTAGGCAGTGGTCGAGAGGAGATGAGTAGAGCTTGTGAGTCTTAAGTCTGGTTTAGACGGCATGATTTATGAATTGTCGGCCGATTCTCCAAACCTCTGTGATCACAGAGCTGATAAAAGTACAACAGGTTCGATCGGTTCGTGTCTCCAAGGCAGGAGCAACACGAACCGATTCCAGTCACCAACATCCCGATTCCAGAGGATGATCCAGTAAAACCCCCAACATAGCATACGGGAATTTAGAATGACCAAACATGGATGACTATGTAGAAACAATAGTGATAGTTTGTGGAGTCATTTTAAGAGATAAAAGACGTATCAAAAAGAAAAGGTGGTGGATAAAAGACGACGGGAGCAGCCGCTCTATTTGTTGCACTATGATTTTGAGGTGACTATGTTTTTTCATAGTTAACATTTTTAACTGAATAAACATAAACATATAATAACGACCTTTACATAAAATAATAAACATTTCCACATATCATCTCCGATATCCACTGGACTCTCAGTTGCGCGATATGTCAGCTGTTTGGGATTCCCCTCTGTTCTGACGTCACCGTGCTTTCTGATTGGCTAACTGTCACATTCAGCAGGTTGTATTCTCGTTTCCAATCAGGGAAAACCCCACAGGCTGCGATAAAAGGGCCAAGACAACCCAAATTGGGCATATTCAGGATTTAGCGGAACACCAACATGCAGAAGCCTTAGCTGACTGTTCACCCCCCGGGCCGCAACAAAATTTCCAAGTCTTGACCGGTCCGGTAATAAAAAGGTTGGAGACCACTGATTTAGCACATGCTAGTAGCAGACACACGAAGGATCAGCACTTTTACTGTTACAGTTACCGTTCGGAAACTACCGTAATAAGTTCTGTTAAATCTAATCTTGGCTACTTTTTCTTTTTCAACCATAATAAATGTGATATTCAATTGACCTGTCAAATGTTGGCTGTCCGCCCCCCACTGGTGCTGCTGCATACTTGTAGAAAACCTGGACCGGCAGAGATATCTGCGGCTTATATGTGCATGTTTACTGGTTTAAAAAAATTAAAAAAAACTTTGNCCTGGAACTAATAGCTACATTTGTCAGTCATTTGCTTAGATAACAGAAACTGGAAGTGGTGAATTTGGGTGTAGCTCTGTTAAGTCTGAAGTCTGAATAGAAATGTCAGTAGGCTGTGTGGCTGTGTTGTAAATTTACCACAGATAAATAAATGAGCAAGTGCAAAACATAGTATTTTTGTAATTTAACAGTGGTGCTTTGGGTGGAACACAATAAGGCTGCTTTAGCCCCAGTGACCTATTCTGTCTTTGCGAACATGTTGAGGTCAGAGGCGGGGTGACAGACGGTTAGTGGGAGTTCAGGTTGAGAGGATATGCAAAGAGCCAGAATGACCTTGTGGTTTGAATAAACACGCACAATAGAGGATATCAAGGCTCACTAAAAATATATATTGCTGTTATGGGCATATTTAAATTCAGATGTACTGACATGCAGTAACAACACATCACAAGGCAGATGGTAGCACCCCTAGGGAGGATTATTTTTTTTTGTGCCACCTTATGTTGGTCTGTGACATACAATCCAAGTGAAACGTATCAAGATTTTGGGTTGTAGTGTTACAAAATTTGCAGTGAAACTCAATAAAAAAATTTAATCGAGTTAATTGCTATGTCTGAAATTAATTGATCACAATTAATCACATTTTAATCAAAAGTTATTGACCAACTAAGCAAGATTTTGAAATCAAAAACCAATTTTGTTGCTAAATTATTGAATAAATAGACATGTTTGAACCCCTCATCATTCACAGAACTTCTTTAGAAATATTGACTGTGGACGCTGACATTAGGGATGTCTGTGCTGCTGCAAAATGTTTAGCATTGAGATGTTAGTTTAGGCTTGATTAGCTTCACTGATAGGCTAACTACTTTTAGCAAAACCTGAACACAACAGTCTTTTCCAGTGTCCCATTAGATCATATTTCTGAAATAAAAATTAGCCCAGAGTGAAACAAAAGAAGCAGCTCCATCATCCATCGTATTTGTTTGCAGATAAACAAACAAGCCACCAATCTGGTACGCCCACAGATTTGTGGGGAAAAATAAGAAAATTACAAAAAGAAAATGACAATTGTATTAAAACTTTTGTGTTTAATTAATCAAAATTAATGTATTAAAGTCCTGGTTCTACACAACATATTTTAAAATGTATCTAAAATATATTTTTAGAACAA